GGAACGTTTTTTCTCGCACCAATGAGCCTGTTTTCAACCGGGGCCAGTCATCTTACCAACCGGCGCCGGTTGGGTCGATTTTCTGCTAAAAAACAGTATCATGTAAGCTGATTCTTGATGGGAAAACCCCATCTTCCTCAATGCTAATCAAATATTGCTTCCATACCTCATTGTTGGGTTCGGATAGACTAAAAGATGTCATTCTTTAGCCTATATAAAGCCCTCAATTCATCATACAAACACATTCCATTCCATGGATTAATTCATAGCTTTTATATTTTGTTCTTGCTATTTTTCTTCAAATTCTTTGGAGAAGAAGCTATTTCTCTCATCTACAATTGGTTCTAGGTAATTTTTCTTGTATGTTATTGTATTTATTTGTTCTTAGTTACACTTTTGTAATTAATATGAGCATTAGAGGCTAAGTTCTTAGCTAAGGCTAGGGATGAACTTCTATGCCCACTATGTGTTTGATAAAAGTTCTAAACCAATAAATTGTGATTTATCCTTTATATATTGATTGTTTATGACTATGGTGTACAACATAGAAGTATGTTAAATTTAGTTTATACTTGCAATTAACGTTGAAGTCTAAACTATGAACATTAAAGGATAAACATATATAGTACCGAAAATAGAAATATATCCGGTCTTATATGATACGGGTGTGATGTCTTGATATTCAACGGGGTTTTCGGTAGATGAATGTAAGCCGTAACGGGACTTACACGTAACGAAAACCACGCTCTCGTTGCCTTAACCGGAGTTGAGAATATATTAGCGACATCGTATTCATAATTATTGGCAAATAACTAATATTCAACCCTATTTAAGCATTTAAGTGATTCCCGAAGCCTTAGTTGTTGTTATCATTTATCTTGAACTAAAAGTTAGTTAACGATTATCTTTTTGAACAACAAAAAGTGAAAAAAAAAACCAAAAATATAAAACACAAATCAAAATCCCTGCACTTTATTCATTTCTTCATTTAAAGTTATCTACTCTCGGACTTGAATTAAACAACGTTTCCTTGTGGATTCGACCCGGTATTTTACCGGAATTTATTACTATATCGACACTTGTACACTTGCAAGTTTAGCCCGGTCACCCAACCATGTACGTCTATACGAAACTGTATAACCATACTTTTCCTTCAGCAGCTGAATAATAGTATGGACTTTCAGGGATGGGTCAGTGCGAATAATGTTGGATCGATACACCCCTCTTTGGATTCGGCAAGCTTGTTAGATCGATACACCCCTTTTTGGATTCGACTAACTTCCCAGTGGGTCACCCATCCTTGGGCTGTCTTACCCCGGGCTCGCTTAACTGCAGAGTTCTGTGGTTAAATATCAGCCATATCTTTCTTAAAACCAATTGGTGATAAGGAAGTGGACACCTTCTATTTAACCCATTACTATGTAGTCCCAAAGTCAAGGTAGATTCCTGTGGGGCACCCCCCACAGTTCACTATGGCAGGGTAGAGCCCCATTATTGAGCGGTGGATGGACATGAGGGGTTGCACCACATCGTGGTGCCAACAGGTTGGGCGGTTAGTCCCTGAATCAAAGGGTGGTGCTGATCCCTCATAAGACCAACAAATAAGGTCAATAATATCTCGGGAGATAAAGTCTGATGTAATCGCCACATGATCATTGTTGTCATTGTTGCCAACACAGGTAGCAGAATGAGGTCCAGGATAACGCACAACTGTGAACATGTCAAGACTTGCATGTTTCTTTGTGGCTCGTATTCTCCATGTGCAACCACGTTCCTTCTTTCTCTTGAACTCTGCAACCCATTTATGTTTGTCTGACTCTAGCACACGATAAAATTGGTTGCGTTTGATAGAATACAAGCTCACCATATTGATGAGTTGTTCTTTGTTGTCAAACTGCTGACCAACCTCAAACTCACCGTCTTGTGTAAACCTTTTCACACCCGATCCACTCTTCCATGCATCATCAAACCCGGATGGGAGATCATACAATCTAGTATAATGGGTAGATGGAGCAGTTGCGGTCACAATATCACCATCATCTTCATCTGACTCTGTCATTGCATCATCATTGATGCGTTCATCAGCATCATCATAAGTTTCATGGCCATCCAAAAAGGATGCACCATTGTGCAAATACCGTCCATCCTCCTCTACAACCATGTCCAAAACAACATCATTTGATGAGGCCGCAGCATTAAGACCATGCCCAGATACAATAACATTTGATGTTGACGGAGTTACAGAAGCGTCATAGTGAGAATCTAAGATGTATATCTCCATTGTGGACATAGTCATCATCTGAACTATCGTCCACAATGCCGTGACAGCTTCCTCATCATCAAGTGGCATAAGCATGTATGATCCCCCGTGAAGGGGATATTTCACCTGCACTTCCAAATAATGGCTCGGAGATATCTGTGTAGCAGCATATAATTTTTGCACCATCTCACGCATACATGCGCCTCGAGAAACCACACACATCCGTCTCTTACCACCTTCATAGCGTATACCCCCTGCTTCCTCAAATAATTTCCCTTCCCAATGACACACAATTGGGAAGTTGGAGAAATCCATATTCTAATAACAATACATAACAATAATGGATGAATACACATTAATATACTAACTTTATACACCCAAATTCAACAATCCATAGACATAAAACATATTTCAAAACTCTCATATTTCAGAAAATCATTTTACATATACAACACTTAACAAAGGCAAATTAATAAGTTTTTCACCTATAAATCATTCAACAATATAACACATAATATTACATTGAAATTCAACATTTCATACATATTTACATTTCACAACAAATCATTTCACAAATAAATTCCTAATTAACAAATTCGAAAATTATCACTTTAAACCCTAAGTTCAAAAATGAGATGAAATTGGGGATTTGATGTACCTAGAGGTTGAAGAAGATAATTGAAGAGTGTATTTGGTAGGTGAAATGGCCTCCTAGTAGCTATAGTCGCCGGAGTGGGGTGCTGCAATCGTTCTTCGCCGGAGCTCTTTTGTTGACTTCAATCGTTCGTTCTGTCTGATAAGGTGTGCGCAGCAGTTCATTAAAGGGCAAAGTCGCCAAACGGTTTGGCGACTTTCCCCGACCAGAATTAAGCCCAACAGTATATTGGTAAATAGTTTTAACCCAATATTAATTCGGTAATTATTTAATTAATTAGCATTAATCCGGAAAAAAACTCCAAATTAGTATTGCCATGTATTTTATTTCTGAAATAGGAGTACTTACTATCCTATTTTGGCAATACCAGATTTTAAATATGACTGCATTTTTCAAACTTGACAGTAGTAACTCTTATTTATGAAATAAAAATAAAACAATCCTCTTTTGAAATTCTAAAACGTTTTTACTTCTACTTCGGGAACTTTTCCAAAACAGCTACATTAAGGTACACAAACATTACTCAATGATGCAAATTTTACAATTAAAATAAATCTCACAAGACTATAAATACATGTATAAATATACTACTTCCGTCTCATAATGTAAGGTACATGTGTGTCACTGTGTGTGGTGTGAGTTTTAAGAAAATAAATGATACATCGATCAATTTACAAGTATTCCAAATTTAAATGCCCTCATAAAAGGAAATATGGAATGAATTGATCGAAAATTCTTAAGTTTTAAGAGTTTCATTTATATGCCCTGACTTTTTTATAATAATTTGTAATAATTAGTGAGATATGTTGATACATTTGTGTAATTAGGTGTTAACCTCTAAAAAAAGAAATATTAGGATGATTGTACAAAAGTAAATGATGAAATGGATAGATGTAAAATAAAAAAAAATTAGTTGAGCTCAATTTAGGAAGATGTTCTTATTCTCCAGATAACTTAAAAAGTGTAACTTACAAAATGGGATAGAGAGATCCTCAACCACCAATGATACATAGAGTTTTTTGCTCAATACCTATAATCAAGACATTGGGTCCACTCAGGGGTGGAGACAGGGAGGGGTTGGAGGGGGCTTCGATGGCTCGGCCTCTGCAAGAAAAAAATTCTATAAATATTTTTAATCTATAAAAAATACGTTGATATTTTAAACTTTGGCCCCTGCAATGTGCGTAGTAAAATTTTAAGGACCAGCCCCCTTAACCGTAGTTTTGTGACTCCGCCACTGGGTCCACTTAATTATTTTGCCGAAAGTTCTTCATATTAAAAGGAAATTAACCTAAAATATTTTTTTTAATCAACAAAAATCGTTTACATTAACATACACATAATGATATAGTTACACTTGTTTCACGCATATATACACCATAAATGAACATATTTACACAAAATATGAAGTATTTATACTATTTTTTCACCCTGTGAGTTGGATTTTTAATAACTAAAGCAACAATAAGTTTTGAACAGTGAAGTAACGTCTTCATGGTATCCCAATGTCACGGTGGTACAAATTATAATAAAAAAAAGATACAATATTACCTTTAGCCTTTAAAATACTACTACAAAAAAGTGACATGTAATTTTTTTCTCAAATATGATCAATCTTTTGTTTAATCAATTCACTTTTTTATTGTAATTTATATCCCCAATTTATGTCCAACTCACACCTGTCCAACCGCTGTCGGTAAAAATCATCGAAAACATGATGATTTTTTGTATTGTCTAGGTACATAGACATCTTTTTAAATTTTTGCACAAATTGACTTTGTATGCAAAATAAAGGGGGTGCACTGTACAAAAAAGAGTCTACAAAATGAAAAGTTCTCGGATTTATGGGCCTAGTGTACATATTATTGATATAATACTATCTATATTAGGACAGAAGAGCGTAATGTGATTTTAAAAAAATTAAAATTATGTGATTGATAATGTGTTGATAAAGTAAGAATTAAATAAAAATGAATTACTGTCAACAAATATTATCAAATATGATATCAGACAAATTTAATTTGAGAGACAAATAAAAAAAATGAATCAATATATAGTGAGAGAAAGAGGTGTAATACAAGCAGGAGTAACATAGGTAGTATATATAGAGCGCACGGTCAAGTTAGCATGTGTGACCATGACAAGCAATATGGTAAAAAAGTGTATGTACTGAAAATAATACCGAGTAACAACGAGCACAGATAGAGTGCGGAAGGCGACGAGGATCGGAATTTAAGGTGCGGAGAAAGAGGACACAGTCGAGACGAAACTGGTGACGCGCAGGAAGTAGGAGAGAGCTAGGGTTCTCGGGGAATCATCGTTGGTTTTCCGGCGAGGGGAACATTACTGCCCTCTCTTCCGGTCTTCGCCAACGACCGCCATACATAAACTTGGAGACCCAATTTCCCGCTGATTGCCAATAATAGTTCATTCCAAAGGAATTTCTGCAAATCCGGATTAGATTGGGAAATATATTAGATGCGTTAATGGAAAAGAATAGTTTGGAGGAACAACGGGAAGAAAGAAATTGAATCTCTTTAACTTCTGATTGTAGTTGTACATGGCCAATCCCGATTCTCAACGCCGTTGTGTTTTTGGTTAGTAACTCTACCTAACCGGTCTATATCTCTTGATAGGAATACATAGATTGAATGGAAAACGTGTTTTTTGTTTTGTTTTAATTGCATCACTTGGTATACCTTTGTATATCGCTGGAATACATGAAGATATAATACAATTAAAAGGTACATTTTTTTAATTCAATTATCTTGGGTGGTGATCTGTAGTTGGAAATATACCTTATGATGCTACTGAAGAACAGCTAGTTCAAATCTGTGAGGAGGTTGGCCCTGTTGTTTCCTTCAGGTTAGTTTCCTAGTTGAGTTTACTACATTTAGTTTAACCGAAAACCCCAACTTCCCAGATATCAAAGTTGCATCTTATAGCTATGGCTAAAAGAAAAGTTCGTAACTTTTTTGGATATATGAAAGCAAATCAATTTTTGTTACATTTGTCCAACAAGAATTCAGAAAAAGGTATGGACTTGGCTTTAAATCCTATAATCTAATAATTGCATTTAGCAATACTTGGACGAGATTTAAATCCTTTATGGTATCATTGTATCAATAAAAGCCTTCTCCCATCATTGGTTCAGGGTAAAGAGGTCAATTCCAAAAATTGAATAGCACTGATGATATTATCACTTATCAGTGAGGACGTGAGGCAAATGTTTGAAGCGTAATATTAGTTTGTTTAAATTATTATGGAATTTCACCTTTTTATCAAGGAAATAAGCCAAGTGAGTAGTACAGGGAGTGCTACTTCCTTCGATTTTGATTGGTAGGGAATGCAGAGAGAGGGAGGAAAAGTATTTTTTTCTAGGCCCCAAGGCCCTATTTCATCGATCCAATCCGTCAAAATCAAATCGGGGAGTATGGGGTCGGAGTATAACCGAGTAAAATACTTTCGCTTCATATAGGACTCTGTTATATTTATTATCAAATGTATGTATAGTATGGTATCTCAATTCATAGAACTTTAGTTATCCATTTATTTGTATGATTTGGTGAAATGTGATGACTTTTTGCTCTGTGTTTTGCTTTTGGTCCCTGATAGTATCATCACACAACCGTCTTTACATATTTTCTATATTTTCTCCTCAGATTAGTAACTGACAGAGAAACTGGAAAACCCAAGGGTTATGGATTTTGTGAATACAAGGATGAGGAAACTGCCCTCAGTGCTCGCCGTAATCTGCAGGGATATGAGATTAATGGTCGCCAGTTAAGAGTTGATTTTGCTGAGAATGATAAAAATGCTGACAAAAACCGTGAACAAGTAAGGTGTTTGGTTCATTGGTTCTCCTAAGTCTAAACTTTAAATTGGTTCAGCTCTCAATTTTGTTTTGACACTGATTTCATGTGGATCTGTCCCATGTCACTATTTTTTATGCATTTTTTAACTTTAAGTTTGGAATTTCTGTGCATCAGATTTGTTCAGGTACTTGAACCCTTTAGCTTTCTGGAAAAACTTTTTCATTTTGGACTCAAAATTTACTATTTTTCCAAATCAGAATGTAGACAGAAAACATTGACACTTTATTTCTCTCCATGTTATACATTTTCTAATTTGGCATCTCCAAACATGTTTACTAATCTTTATTTTTGTAAATTTATCACTCGAATCCAATGGGAGAAACATTTTTGTTAACATAGTTATTTTTTGCCACATTGCAACCTCACTGCCGGCAATGACCGTGGTTGATGGTAGCCTGTGGTAGTCAGGCCTGCCCATGGTTGCCAAAGTTTTGACAACTGTTGTGGCGGTGATTGTGGTTGCAATCCATTATTGGTAGTGGGTTTGGTATCTCATCGGTCTCTAGAGTCAAAGAATCAAATCAATTTTAATACTGTAAAACCCAACTGATCAATCCAATGTTTATTTATTTCCTTTTTGGGGTGAGCTATAGTTGCAGTTACCCGTTCTACTGTTCTACCTCATAGCGTTCTATTTAGTTATAGCATCTTGGCATTTAGAAATTTAGTACACAAATAGAAGAGACAAAAAGAGGAGATGGTCAGAAAAAGAAGAACTGAATAAGAAATAGAATAAATGAAAAATAACAGAGATGAGAAATGAATACATGCGGAGATTAGAGAGAGCAATGAGAAAGGAGAGGAAAAGGGTAAAATGTGGATTGGATGATAGAAGAAAGAAAGAGAAGATCACAAAGTAACTTTAGAGATGTGGGGGAGTTGAAAATAGAGGAGATGATAAGTGAAGACAAAGGAACTTTAGGGATGTAGTAATTTTGGGTTGTGGGTACTTTATCAAGGAACATTTACTTTCATTCCTGTCATTTTATATCCCAAACAAAAATAATGTCTTCACTCTTTTGTCTGTACTCTCTACCAAGGTTGTTAAAATCACGATTCAACTCGTAAAATTGTACGATTTTTTGAATTATCAACCCAAGATCGATTTAAATTGCATGAAAAATCGTATTTGATAAAAAGCGTAAAAAATCACCCTAAAAATCGGCAAAATCGTTTGAAATCTCGATTTTGCTGATTTGACGCTTTTGAATTTTACTACCAAATCAGCCACACACGCGCACATGCATTTGGCCCAATTTATTGGCTTACGGCTGCAGCACTGGAAGATTATATTTAAAAGAGAAAAGAAGTGGAATTGAGCTCTCACTTCCGGTGTGGGACTGTGGGAATAGATGCATGAGGAGGAAGCAAACGTTTAAAATAAAAATAATTTTTTCCACCCAAATTTCCTTGAAGTCTTGCACTACAAACACAATCAAGGCAACTTACGTGAATGCTTGGATTTATTAGTGTGTGGTCTAAATTAAATCAGAATTGCTCAACACGTGCATATCCAAATGATGAAATACATTAGGATACCCATATTTTACAATAATATTACTCTTTATTTAGCATTTATCGTAGAAAAACATACCCCATATAATAAGGATATTTTCTTTTGGACTGTTTTCAGTCCCAAACCAAACTAGATCAGACAGATCACCGTAGTTATAAAATACACAGAGACCAAACACTTACCGGACTAGTTCAGACGAGACGAGACCAACAAATTTCAGTTCAAAAGAAAACATCCTAATACTACATAACATTTTAGGTTTGAGTTAAATATTCAAATATTTATACATTAGATCCTTCTACATAATATAACATCAATTAGGACTCTTATTATTTATACTTGTCATAGACTTTAATTAAAACTTCATATTTATTTGTTGAGTGAGCACTCCATCTTTAATTACGTATAACTATATTTTTAATAATTTATACAATACATATATGTTCATATATATATTATAAAATCTTACGATTTACGATTGATTTCACGATTCGATTTTCAAAAGCTTGTACCTATTCGACTCAAAATTACGATTTTAACAACCTTGCTCTCTACACACTTCAATTTTGTCAGTTATTTACATAAACATGAAAGTGGTCGAGAAAAGTAAACACAGAGAGAGAAGTTACATCATGCATCATTCAGCATAATTCATGTTTGTGAAGTTTTTGTTTCATTGTCCTAGGCCCTTTAATTACACTTTCTTTTAAATCTCATAACCTTTTAATCACTTTTGATTTCCATCTCTTGTTTAATAGGCACTCGCCTCAGGCAACTGATGCCCTTATGAACCTCTCACCTTTGATAGCATTGCCATTTTCTAAATTTGGAAAGCTAGAGTAGTGAACAAGTTTTCTATTTTCCATACGACCATACCTCACTTTTGAATCACCATTATGGCTACAGGCTACCATTAAACTTTAACTCCTTGATATCTTCCTACACACATACATTTACCATCCAATCACCTATGTTATCATGTACTCTTATTACCTTAGGGGTTATATGTTTTAAAGATTCTAAAAATACCTTGAGTTATAAGATTAACTTATGAGATGGCAGGGTTTATACCCTTTGTATGTGCGAGAACTAAAAATAAACCGTTATGATCATTCTGACCATATTATCGTTCAATAGTAAACATAGAAGAGTACATTTTGTAAGAATTACAATATCTAATGTAAAATGGGGATAACTGTACAGGTAAAATTGGAATATTGCGAGATAGTGTCACACTCCCTAAGTAAATGGTGCCTATGTAGGCCAGAAAGGGAAATGAGTATTAGGACAAAAAACGGAATAAGAGAAATTGTATTATGGACTTTCTTTGTAAGGCCATAAATGTTCCGAGAACTGTTTAAATATTAAGGTTCTCATTTCCTTTTTTGGAAACAATTAACAATCTTTAATGACAAATTAATCACTAATTATTACAACTAATACATTTATAACATCACAGTTATCAACACTAACTCCATTATATTATATACCTATTAAAATTATTTCTCAAGGTATACTCGAACTACCTTATTTAATTATTGTCTAAATAACCATGACGTTTTGACATGGGAACCTTTCAACAGGACGGAGGTAGTATTTTTTATTTCTGTCTCTGTTTCTTGTAAAAGTTTACATCAATGTTGTTTCCTGTGATACCTGGGTAGACCATTGTTATTCATAGAAGCACAGATGAGTCTTTGTCTCCTGCAGTTATCCCACACCGTCCCTCCTATTGGCACGAGTCTTGTTATGAGCCGTAAATAGACGCCATGTATTTAACTTCAGCGAGAAAAATGAAGTCTTGAATATTGTACACATCTTTGCCTGTAAATAACTGAAGTTTCCATAGCTAGATGTACTTGCTTGTCATTAACTCAGTGCCCATATTTTAACTTCCGAAACATAAGCTCCATGAATTTGTTTTCTTACAGGGTCGTGGTGGACCTGGTGCAGCTGCTGGTGTGTTTCATTCTACTCTTTACTTCAATATTTTTCATTTCCCCTCCAACCATAAATATTTCATTATGTTTTGTTTCTCTTCAACTGGGAGTTGCAGATCCTCAAAGACATATAGGGGGGCCATCCGCTATTGGAAATTCAAGTTTACACCAGCCAATTGGACACCCAATAGCTACAAGTGCTGCCACTGTCATGGCTGGAGCTCTTGGAGCGACTCAATTGGGGCAGACAGGCTTACAGATTCAGCTTGGATCTGGCATTGATCCTTTATCGCATTACCTTTCTAAAATGTCAAGGAGTCAGCTGTATGAAATAATTTCTGATATGAAGGTTTGTTAAATATATTGTGATTTTGGAATCCTAGTGCTGCAGAGTTTCACTACCTTCTAGAGAAGGATTTGTATATTTGTATTGTTATTATGTTATTTTTTGAGTACATTTTTAAAGTTAATTGTTTTAAAAATTTCTTGAACATTTAACAAATTTTTACCTTAATGAAGAAGGCTATACTCTACTATCAATAATACCAGTCACTCTTTTGTTCAGCAACACAATTATTTCTTGTCTTTCCCCAATCCCCATCCTGAGAAGTGAGAACCCATCTCCACCCCTCTGCATCTGGAAACCCCAAAGGTTTTTTTTTGAATTTCCCGGAAACCCCTGCCCACACCACCGTTCAATATTTTCATTGTCTACTATTGGCGAAACTACCTGAGCATGAGGCCAAATGTCAATTAGATCACTTAGCCAGTAGCCACGTTTCATGTTTGGAAAAGTGAGCACCCTGAAAATGCATGCTGCTCAACCAAAGAAAAATTATGGGGAGTTCACTGAAATGGGAACTAAGTACTTTTCACCCCTTGAGTCTTGAGTCTTGACAAATTAGAAGTAAGGAATGTAACATTCAAACAATAGCAAACAATAAGGGGAAAATAATTTAAATACCCCAAACTTTAATGGGGTGTGAGATATGTACTCCAAACTTGCATATGTAATATATATACCCCGAACATTATATAAAAAGTTATTTTTGCACCATGATGGTATGTTATTTTACAAATACAAATTTATTGGAATAATTACATAATTTAAAATACTCTTAAGCTTTGTTAGAATGCAATTAACATTCTAAAATTTCACTTGTGAAATAAATAATATTACATCTGGTACAATTTAATTTTAATTGCATATATCCTCATAAATGTTTTGTGCATTTTAAATTATGTACTTAACACCATAAAATTACATTTGTGAAAAAAATATGATCATGGTGCTAACATAGCTTTTTATATAAAGTTTCTGGTATATATATTACATGTGCAAGTTTGGGGTACTTATCTCACACCCCTTCAAAGTTTGAGATATTTTAATTATTTCTCCCAAACAATAATGTTACCAAAAGTGATTTTAGAAAACAATGTTACCAAACATGTTATCATATTCTGAGTTCTCAATTTTTCTCCATAGTTTAGTTTCATTTATTTTTTAGTTTGATGGTACCATGGCAGGCTATAGCAACACGAAACAAGGAACATGCCCGTCAACTATTACATACAATTCCTAACTTGCCTAAAGCAATTTTCCAGGTATCTATTGATTTTAGATCCAGATTGTATATAACATTTATTCTTGGGAGTTATTATGGTGTTTACATTTTAAAAAGCCAAAACCCATCTATTGGTGCCCCACACTTCAAAAAAAATTCATTCTCGTGGAATCATCATTGTATGTATGCTGTATCTTTGATGCATAAGGTACTTGAATACAGAGAAGTCTTCCTGATCTTCATTAGAATCGGCTTCTTTGCTGAAAAAAGTTGTAAAAAAGGTTTTTGAGGAAAGTGTTTTACTGGAAAAAAAGATGTCCGATGCTTCAATGTATACTACTTAGTACTACCTCTGTCCCATAAAACTTGGCCAACTTTCCTTTTCCACCCGTCCCAAAAAACTTTGCCACTTCCATTTAAAGTAACATATATGTGGCCAAAGTTATTTCTCTTTCCTTTGCACAAATATCAACCACATAGTTTTTACTATTAATCTACGTGCAAGTCAACTTTGGCCATGTTTTATGGGATGGAGGGAATATAATATAACCCTTTGAATAAACATTTTTATTTTAAACGTATCTTTAAAACAAACAGAGCATAAATGACACTTCCTTTTCTTCATCAACAGAACATTTATTACTTCTAATTCAATCAATGAAACTGATTGTTGTCGTGTTGATGAGTACAACTCGATAAAAGCATGTCAAAATAAAGTGACTAACTTTAAGTTATTAATAACAACTCGCAAGAGATGATGTTTACGACACACTTATATACTACATTTCAACACAATAGACAATCAATGTGGGATACTCAGCAGGCTTATTGCAATTTTTTCCCAGTCCGTGCTATAAAGTTTCATCAATATGCTTTCCTTTTCTAATATGCACTATGACTAGCTCCACTCATTATTTCTTTACTTCTTGTGTTAGTACGGAGTATATTCATATAGTGTGGTAGCTTAGCTGTTATGTATGTTGATTCATCTTTAACTATTGGTCTCTTACGTGCAGGCACAACTAATGCTTGGACTGGTTTCTCCTCAAATGGTTAGTTTTGTTAAAACCTTGTTATAGTTTATTAGCTGAAGCTTCTTTGCTGTTCTAAAACTTCTAACTTACTGTGTTGAACGATCTTTCAAATATGCAGTTACAGGTGCCTAATATTCGGCCATCATCTGTTCCTCCACCGCAGTCTGTGTTGCCTGACAATCATCACAACCAACAACTAGCAATTCAAATGCTTCCCGGGGCTGCCCCCCCTCTTCACAGTTCTCACGTCCAACACCCACAGTTGACTGAAAACAACAATTTGCTACATGGGAGATTGCCAGCACATTCTGGGGTACACTCCATTTCAAATATTCGAGCTCAGGGTAATTTGACTGCTATCCCTCAGATTCAGAGTGACACATCCTCTTTGAAGCAGCAAATGCGACATCCTTTGTTGCCTACTCGTCCTGCTAATTTAGTCTTTACTAGCCAACCTGCTGCACCTAATGCTGCATTTCAACCTTCTTCATTAGCACATCCACCACCTACTGAAAAAGTTTTTCAGGTAACAATTTTTTATGTAACCTGTCAGTGTATACAGTGTATTCACTGGTGTACCAGTGCTGGTTTAGCTTGAGAAGTTAGACTTCTTTGTACCCTTTTATGTGATCTTACCCCTTCGGCACCCATTGCATTTGATTACTTAATAAAATGTTACACTTATTGGTGATTTTTTTGGTAATATGACATTTATTCCGATCCGAGACCTCTGGGATAAAACTTACTCACAACCATTTGAGCAACTCAAAAGTGGCGTACTTATGGGTAATGTCGTCCTTGTCAGAATTTAAAGGGGAAAAAATTAACATATCATTACGAATTATTCATAGAGTTAAGAATTGTGTTTTTTAAGTATTTAACCTAAAGGCATCATCAACTTCGAAATAATGAACACAAATTAACTGTGATGAAAGGTATAGATGCTACCAAGTATTATGTTGTCCTGGGTGTTGACTTACACGCAGTTATGCTTCTGAAAATTTTAATGCCAAGTATGTGTGTGTTTTGAACTTTTAACTTTTGTGTGTTTTAATTTGATGTTGAGTTCTATGTTTCACATCATGACCTCAACTAATAAGCTGATTTAATATAAAAAATAACATATTTCATAAAGTGAAACACACTTTTATTGAACAACGCCATTAAATCGACAAAAGGCTCCCTCAAAAGAATGGGGGTGCATTGGTGAACAACAAAATGCTAATAAAACTGTTGTGCGAACAGAATGGCAATACACATAGTAAAACATTTTTCATAGCAATGAAAAACTTTGTATTTCTGAGGACGTTTTTTTGACAGAGTTAAGGTATAGTTGAGCTCCACTTAACTGAATTCGTGCAGAGTGAGGAATGAGTAGATGATGCTTACTCATCTTGAGTTGTTTGTGTTACTTTGTTTCTTCAATTTTTTTTGATGGATTTTTTAAATATTAAAAGTAAATCTTTTACAACAATAAGTGTGCCTTTGCTGCTGAAAATCGATGTTTGAGTGGTTTTCAGTCTTTTATGGGTTTTTGATATTTTTAAAGCATGCGGAAGGATTTATATGTTATTTTTTCCCACAAACAGCCAGGTTCCTCGGTATTGTCTGCTATTCCTGACAACATGAATAAGCGTCCTCTTGACACCCAATCTGGTAAGAGTTCTGCTTGGCTCAAGAAACCAATTCAAACTTCAGGGTTTCCGGAGAGAGCTGGAATGCTAAATGACAGTACGGATGCGATGAATCACCCATCGAAGTTGTCAAAACTAAATGATGGAAGGAGTTCCTATCCATCAGGAGAATCAAATGTGGATAATTTGGTAACCAGACCTTCAAGGATAGCTAGCGTATCTGGAAAACATATTTCCAGAACAGAAGAGGCTTCAAGCTCTGAGAAACATCCTCCTCTTCAGGTAAGCTTTTGCTGTTGTACACATAAATTATTACTTCTGTCATAAAGAGAAGGGTATACATAATTTCTTCCATCAGGTTTTTTATATGTAGTAGATTTTTGTATAATAAGATTTGTGCACGCGCACGCGTGCTGCGATTGCAATAAGTATTGTTGGTGTCATTGTAGTTTAGTGTCCTTAAATCTTGTCAGTGCATGAGATCACTTGTATATACTCCGTATATGGTTGTTGGAACCCTCAGAAAAATTAAAGAGAGAATGGTGAGTTCATAAAATATTTGGTTCAACTAGCTAACAGATTGAATCATTGAACTCATTTTAGTGTGCTTTGGCCCAATTGTGCCTATAGCACCCTATCTAATCTTGAAATCTATCATTAGTCACTGATGTTGTGTTATCATTGTTGTCATTGTTCTAGACCCCCCCTTCAAATATTGTGATTTTACTCATAATCACTGTAGTATTTGTGGTGTACCAAAGTCGTGTGCTCATAAAGTCCCATTTGTCATTCACGCTGTGCAGCTGACCCCAGATGTGGAGTCAACCTTATTGCAACAAGTGATGAGTCTGACTCCAGAACAGTTAAGTTCATTGCCCCTGGATCAGCGAGAGCAAGTCCTTCAGCTACAACAGATGCTTAGGCAGCCAGCGTAGGTTGTGTATGATTAGAGACATTTTACTCCCAATGGCCTTTGTCGGTGTGGTCTCACCCTAACATTTTTTTCACAAAGGCAGTGAGTGGTCTTAAGCAGCTGCAATGAAGAAAAGCCTTCTCAAATAACCCGAAGCAGTAATGGCTGGCTACACATATGCATTGGTTCGGGCTAACATTCTTAGGCGTGCAGCTATCTGTGAAATCATATTTTTCCCTTGTTGTAAATTTATTTTTTTAAACTTTCAAAGATTAGCATAGGATAATTGCTAGAGAGAAATTCTCTTCATGTAACTATGTATAAACCATGCCTCTAATGAATAGCAATGATACAAATTTTAGGGACTGTTCTGTATTTCATAGAAGTGTCACAAAAGGTTAAGCTCAGAACTGTCTATAATCTACCCCAACTTTATTGTTCTTTTATTTTGTATTTTCATAATTTCATTTGCTTGATTTTGCCTCGTTTTTTTGAACTGTTATTGTTATCGATTGAAAATACTGGCATGGATTAATTATCCCTTTGTGACTTTGTCTCAAATTCGTTGTTTGATTTTTGTAAAGATAGACTAGTTAATTACTTAATTTAAACAAATTTATATATTTGAGAGATAAAAAAGGTTTTATATAACAACAGTTACTTAACAATTCAATTAGTTTTTATATTAGACAGGAGCTACAGTAGAAGCTTAATCAACTTTTATTAATCAACGGATACAATAGAAATTCTATAATACAAAAAATGACTTATCTATTTAAGTGTTACGTATTATAAAACAAAAATCTATTTAAAAGTTAAAACATCCTTAACTCGTACAGTTGTACGCGGTACGCCCTCATCTAATCGGGAGTATGGATGGACTTGGGCCGGATGACCCGGAACCGGCCCGGGACCGGTACTGTTCCGGCCCGGCCCGACCTGGTGGCCCGGTCAGTGACCGGTCCGGGTAGGCCTGGCCCGTGGGTTTTCCGGTCCGGGCTCGGGTCACCCAAAACAATGCCCGACCGGGCCCGGGCCCGGTTCTGGCCAAAAACTTTTTTTTTTTCAATTTTTTTTAAATTTTCGGGTTGGGTTGGGTATTTTGGGCCATTTGGGGTGGTTTGGGGGGTTGGGGGTGGGAGGGGGGTTAATTAGGAAGAGGAAAAAAAAATATAATGGGCCCGGACCCGGATCGGACCCGGTGGTTACCCAGGCCGGTTCCGGGTCCACCATTTCTGACCCGCCGGCCCGCCCGGGCCTAGGCCCGACCTGGACCCGGCCCGGACCCGAGTCCATCCATAATCCGGAGCCAAGCTTCAACTTGTAAGCTTAATAACCATGATTCATGAACATGGCGTTTACGCACTTTAAGCATGGAGGGTGGTATGCTTAGTAAGCGGCACTTTAAGCATTTTGTTAGTAAGCAGGTTGCGTATTTACTTCATCTGTCCTACTAAATTAACTGTGACTTTAGCAACGAAGTAAACACCTCCTAAATGATAGTGGTTTAATAGTCTTTTATTCACACATTTAACATTTTTAAATATGCTATCTTCTCTATATCGTTCCAATTTTATCTTCAAAAGTGACATCTTAAAAAACGTGCCCCTTGGTGCATGGGAAAAGCGAGGGAAAAAGTTCAACGTGGGAAAGTATTGAATTTATTTTTGTATTATTTTTGTTTTCTATTATAGAACTATAAAGAAATCCAATCTTATGTAAACAATTTAGAAATATTAATCATATTTGACTTTCCTTTCCATTTTCGAGATCAATCTTAACATAATCAAATAACATTCTTTAACATTTTATTTTCTCTCGTTAGCGCAATCCCGAATCCAAGAATAAACGTAGTTATGTAAAAGTTAATGTTGCGTTCTTTGAAATTTAGGATGCCGCATTCCTAAAAATATACTCCCTCTGTCCCCCAAATATTGGTACGGAAAGATGTAGTGTGGTTTTTAAGAAAAATAAATTTATGTGGTTGGTAATAGTTGATAAAGTGGAAATAGAGTAAGAATGAATTAGAGTCGCACAAATGTTCCCAAATATGGTATGAGACAATAATAAAGGGACATCCAAAAATGTAAAATGGGACAATTATAGAAGGACGGAGGAAGTAAGATGTTTCCAAATAAACTGAAAATTTCAAATTTTATATGGTTTGAAACTGATTGGTCCGATATGATTTGTTTGAGTTTAATGTAATTTGGACTAGTGCTCGCTAGTCTATTTAAGTTTGACCTGAAGTGACTTGATAACGTTTGAAATTTTGTACATCCTATATTGTCTAATATGGTCATTTTCCATCATCAATTTTATACACAAGAACCTTTCCACATACATAGTATGTGTCGGGAAGATGAGAATTATAGAAATCCTAACCCGTAATAACTTTGAATCTCCTATGATCTATTAAAAGAAAGTTACAGTTTCCTTTTCCTATTAATAATAATAATAACATAAAAATGAATAGAAACAGTTTCAATATATGTGCATCTTCTTCTCTGTATAATAAAGCAAAACATTTTGAATGGAAAAGTACTAATCAATTCATATGATAAGAAGAGAAGATTTGAATCCATACCAACGCACGCATTGGAAGTTACTAACACAGTGAGTTTCACTCGAATATTATATCGTATTTCCAATCTATTCATTCTTATAGCTATTAAAAAAGCTTCATCCATTAATGAAAGATTTTAGTTTGAGAGGGGAAAATCTCAAAAATTAGCAAAATCTCCTATGACCGTTCCACGTTTGAATTTTAAAATATGGCATCTAAAAATGTCTACTATTATTATAAGTTATATATTTTACTTTTTTGAAAAACATGTTAGTTTTTTTGTAGTAAGAAAGTGTACATGAACCGTGTGGTTCTAATTCCGGACTGATTAATTCTGAAAATTCAAAATGGGAACCCGGGACCGGGGTCTATGTTTTTTAGTTCGAGGCCGATTTCTGTCTATTTGCCGCTAGTCCCGGTTTGGTTCCATTTTATTTCATTTTAATATTATTTTCAACCTTTGATTCCCCTCACAGCTTGGCCGGTTCTGGTCCTAATATTAGGAGCCCGGGACCGTGACTCTAACCCCCTGATTAAGTTTCAGTCCCGAAACCGTCTAGACCAGTCTTGGCAAAAAAAATCGGGTGCATTTTTGTATATTTTTATTATTTTTATTTTATTTATGTTTTATTCTTATAAATATAAAAAATCATATTAAAGCATAATGACAAGGGTAGGACATAAAGAGTTACTTTTATTTTGAAAATTTAAAGTAACGTTGGGCTATACAAATTAATTTTTTTGGGGTGGTCAATGTATAGAAAATTCCAAATATTACCTTAGGTCGCTCGAGTATTATTTTGTTGGTCGCTCGAGTATTATTTTGTTCTTAATAGTTGGAAATGGCCCTCTCTATCCATTTCAAGTGGCATGGTTTGGATTATTAGGGCCAAATTGTATAGATTCACTAAAAAGCTCGTTATTCCGATATCGGTAACATTATAGACTAGTACTAATTGGTATCATCTTTAGCCATAAATGTACGTAAACAAATGAGTTGGCTATATCACAGAGACATTTATATTATTACCAAATATGACAGTTCTCTAAAGTGATACTTAGGACAGTAGAATTGAACATGACAAAATTTTTCAAACAAATTTAACATTTTTTAAGCAAGACTTATTCACTAATATTAATTATATTATTTTTTGTAGATATGAACGACTCTGACCAAAAATAAAGAATTTCCTATTTGTGCATATATCTCATTTTCACTCTTGATGAAAACAATTTTTCATGTACGTACTTGATTTGTTGAGGTACATAAACTTTCCATGCAATTAGCCTGTATCAAAATCATTAAGAGAAAATTAATAGTGATATGATTAAAAGAGTAGGCGATTCCTATGTTCTAAAATATGAGTAACTAGTTTTTTATTCCTGAAGTAATGGTGTCTTACACGTATGATACTTATTGTGATGTTATTTTATCTCCCAATCATTAACACATTTCTAATTTAAATTTCACTACTTTTTTACTCCTAACTTTATCTTTTTCTATATTTTCTCGTTTTACTTTTTTACGGGCCTACATTACAATCTTCCTTTTGGCATTACAAAATGGTTGTGATCTCATTTGCTTTAATACAATCTCTCTAAATTCAAATGTATCTTATAATGATAAGAAGATTTTATTTTAATATGTGGGCTTTTTCAACTAAGTAATTTGTTTATGACATTCCATGTTGTTTTAGATGGAGCAAATCAGTCAGCAATATATTTGGGAATTCTTCCCAATAAGGTATAATGAAATATACCGAGTGTATTATAAATTATTATTCATTTTGATTGTCAACCATCTAAATAAAGGTAAAACATTAGCATTAAATACATAATCCACACATTTATAGTTTTACCAAGGTGATGATGTAAAAAGGAAGTTGCCCACCCTCCTCATCTTTGACCCTCTTAGTGGATTCAATTCAATGTTTTTCCACCCATTGTTTTTGAATTTATCTTTAAAACTCTCCTTGAATTAGGTGGACCGCATAATCAATTATATGTCTATTAATTACATTTTTTATATGAGATTAAATTCAACATTTGGTTTTTCACTTTCACAGCTAACTCAAACATTCAATCAAATAAGCTCTCAAGAAAACTTATAAGTAAAATGTCACTTCCTTCCCCCCCTTCACCTCCTTTGTTCTTCAGGCATTCAAATCTTCAGAGTTTTCTGTTCTCAGTAACACCTAATGTTTGGGCAAAGGATTTAGAGCAGGTGATGTTGGTTATTTAAACATAAAAATGCACCACAAAAAAAAATAACCAATTTATTTTGCTTCAAAACAAACATTTTTTCATTAAAAATGAATTTTTGATTATGATTGAATTATTGCATTTAATTTGTTGAAGCTCAGCTATTATCTCGTCATAAGTTTCTACATCAACTTTGTGTGGTGAATCCATTCATTTCATATATATATGTATAGTTTGAATTTGAATTAGAATTGAGTGTCCATCTATATATTTGATATAACTTTGTTTAAGCTACATCTATTTTATTTTATTTTATTTCTCATATCTTTCTCGATTACTTATGTTTTTAAAATAATTTACTATGTGTCTTAAGAAAAAGTTGATGAATGAAACCTAAACATTGCTAAGTCATATGTTGTTGTAAGAGTTATGTAAAGTTTAGATATGATTTTTCAATGCTATCAACTTTTTTTCATTTCACCAAACTTATCATAAGATGTTTGGTCTTGGGATACTTTTTCTTTCACTTTTCAAAATAAATTTTATTTTTGTGTTGAATTATCATCTTATCGATGATTACTTGAATATCGATCACTACGTGTGATACATGATAGAGTGGTGGAGACAAAACTAAATATTTCACTCTTGAAGACTTATGGGAGTGCTATGAGGAATGGAGTGCATATGGTGTTGGAGTTCCTGTCATTCTAAGTGATGG